TTGTCTTTTTTTGTTCCATAATTCCTTATGGTTCTTCTCTTTTATCTATGGCTATTTGATTTTTAAAGTTACGGAGAATAATTTTTTGTATGATTAATTATAAATTCATTATTTAATTTTAATTAGAGTTTTTTAATATTAAAAAAAATTTTGTTTTAATTTTATTTCAATTTACTCTTCTTCTCTCTATCTTTAAATTTTATGTTTTAATTTCTATTATTAATTAAAGTAGCTATATTATATAATTTTTGGGTTATATCTTTTATTTGAGATTTTACTTACTATAGTCAATTGATATAATAACATAAAAGCAATTTGGCTTGACTTAGATGATTATTCATGCTTTATTTTTGGTGGGTTAATATAGAAACAATTGTTAGGTTTCTAGGTTAAGGAAATTTCAATTAACCCATGACTTAATTTCTATTTAATTCTTGAATAATAATTTAGAAAATATACAATAAAGTTAGAATAATAAAGTTAAATAAATTTAATTTATTTTATGAATAAGGAAGATTAAGTTTAGGTGATTGAGTTGTAATTAATTATATTGCTTGTGCTTAATAATTTTCTCAATTAAACTTGCTTTATTTATTTAATTTTAATTTAGTTTTTTAAAATAATTTTGTCATAAAAAAATTCTCTTTATTTAGCTTTTCATAATCCCTTTTTAAGTAGTTAATCCATTGATTCTTAAGGAAATGATCTAGGTTGTGCTTTTCTGTAAAATTTAGTTTTTATCAATTTTGATGCTATTCAACAATGGTGTCATAAATCGAAGACCTAACAATTTAAAATTATGCTCTTATAAATTTATTAATGGAGAAAAATAAAAAGGTTACAAAATTTAAAATCTAAATGGTTCATCGAGCTTCTATTCTCCTCCAAGTACCCAAAGTGATTTAGCCTTCAAGGTCATTCAAGTCCTCCATGAAAAGCTCCATAAGGCTGAAATTCTCCATGGAATCAAGTTGAGAATGAAGTATGAAATGGATGATCAAGTGAGCATGTGCAGAGGGGAGTGAGAGGAAAAGAATGGGAGTGATTTGATGAGGATCTAATAGTTAGATGAAGAGAAATGAGGGAGAGAATGTGGTGAAAACATGCAGAAAAGGGAGATAAAATGAAGAACAATAAAGAATAAGAGAAAGGATGTAAATGGAAAATGAAGGAGGTGATGAGAGATTGAGAAGTGACGGCTAAGTTTAATCCTTTTGGTGAAAATGAGCTGTATGGGGCATGAATTTCAGCTGCTAAAATGGGAGAAAATAAAAAACAAAAAGAAAAGAAAAGGCTAGGGTAAGGTACACATTTCCTACATGCTTAAATATGTGGCCTCCTCTCCTTTGTTCAAAAGAGAATATCCTAAATAAGAATATTCTCACTTATTTCATAAAATGATTTGATTATTTTTTTCCCTTTTCAGCCCATAAATGATGCCACTATTTCCCTTTTTATCCCTCTTCCATGATTCTTGACCAATTTTGAAAAGTCCAAGTTCACATGTGCCACCTAAATTACAAAATAGACATAAAATCAAAGCTATTCATATGACTTAAAAATTAAATTCTTGCCCATAGAATTAATTAAATATCTAGGAAAATATTAATGAAGTAAAATCCAAGGGTAGTGACATGTAAAAGCTCATGCATGTCCATACAAGCACATAAAACCCTAATTTAATCACATAAAGTCAATAATCCCAAAATATAAATTTTATTTTATAACTCCTAAACCAAATTAAATTTTAAAAAATTGATTTTATATTCATTATTTTGGGCATAAAATACATGAACACAACATTAACCCAATTTTTTCATAAAAGTGTAATTTTGGACCAAAATACCCCTAGGGTACAATTTTTCCTTAGGCAATTTTCTTGCTTTTGACACCATGAATAAACCAAAATAGAGAAAAAAAAAAGTAAAATGAGTCCTAAATGAATGGATAAAGTGTGTAAAATATGAGTATTATCAGTAACTCTTTCTAAAAACAAAAGGGTTGAGGTAACAAGATAATTCATACTATCTATTAACTAGTTTAACTATTTATAAGTAAAGTTTTGTAATATAAAATATATGGTTGTGCATTGATATGATTGAAACTTGCATGATTTTGGAAATTGAAATGAGTTTTGAATTATAACTGATGTTTATTAAAAGAAATTGTTTTAAAAGTTAATTGTGAAAAGTATTAATATGGTATAATATAGAGATTGTATATTATATTTGAAAAGACATGATCATAATAGAGGGTGAGAGGTTCACCATATGTGAAGTAGTGAAAAGTCTATATGACATGATTGACACCTTGGGATGTCAGGTGCAACTTATATTCTCCTTAATACTTGAAAGAGTGTGCTGTTAGAGAATTTCTTTCCTTAATGCTTAAATGGATGCAGTATTGGAGACTATGCTCCTTAGTATTTAGAAGATGCGATGTTGGAGTAATGACGTCCCAATTGCGTATGAGATAAGGGGAATCCATAATATAAAAATGAGATAGAACACCTTTAGTCAAGTGATTCTAAGTGAGCTCAGATTAGTTTATATAGAATTGGTCCATTATAGCCTATGAATTCAGTCAGAGGTGGTAGATGCGGAGGTTCAATTGGATAGGATGATCATGCATGTGATAAAAATCATTTAAGAATATGTACATATATATATATATATATATATATATATATTAAGAGGTGGTTGGTAATAATAATAATAATTTTTTATTTATTTGTTTATATTTTTACTTGTTAATAGATATTTTTAGATTATTTTGGTTATTAGGACTTTGTTTCACCTTGTGGTTATGATTTTATAGGTTCAAATACTGGTAGTAGTAAGGGAAAGACCTGAGTTTTGAGTAGTGGATATATTGAGTTACCTACTAAGTTGGTGTAATGAATTTATAATGTTGTATATATTAATATTTATAAGTTGCCATAAGAATGTATTAGCATATTTGGTTGCACTTGTATAGTTGTATGTGTGTATCTTGGCCCTAAGGTGGAAATATGTGAAATGTGATAGTGAAGGCTGAAATACTATTATAAGTGCAAGGTTATGTGTTTTGAATTGGTTGTGGTGCGTGAAATTTGGCCAAAAGTCAACATGTGTATATATGTAAAAAAAAGGCCTCATTATGATGTGGAAAAGGGCATTTGAGTGGCCAAATTTAGATGCAAATGTTTAATTGTTGATAAAACTGTTCAATCAGGTGAACAATGTCTCATTGCTTGTGGTCAAGGCCCTAATGATGGTTAATGATAGAAGGTTGTGATTTAGAATGCTTGGAGGTGAAAAAAAATGACAATAAGTGGTTACTTTACATTCAAGTATCTAATTTTTAAAATAAAGTTGGAATTTATGTCATTAGTTAGATTATAAGAAAAGCTTCATGTAGGGACTTAAATCACTCAAATCAGATATTGTATGAGAAAATGGTGCACATCTAAAGTTCATGTAAAAAGTTGACATGACAACATTGTTTATTGTCATGAGCACGTGTAGCGTAGCGCATGATGTGGTGCATGACATAGAGACGTGAAAGTGGCTTTCTATGCCACATGCCACGACGCATGTGGCACATGTCACAGTATGTCTTTTTGGGCAAAAATGACTATTTTGCCCCTTTTCTCTATTGTATAGTGTTTATGTATTCCTAACCATTTCCGTTGTGCATAACTACCTATATTCTAGAAGGTTCAAATGTTTTCAAAGATTTTTGAGATCCCATATATTTTTAAAGGATTATTTCCTATATTTTTATTATTTATGACTTGAAGTAATTTAGGGGTTTAAGGACTTCTAATTACTATTATGTGCGTGCTAGGTGTGATTACAGTATGGTAATATCAAAGCGGACATTACACCTTCTGCTCTTCTATTTTTATTGTTCCATGGTGAAATTTAAACTCTAAAAGTTGCTCCATATGTTGTAGCATATGTGCTATTTGTCACAATAGATGATATAAAAGGCAAGGCCCACTTCCAGTCTATCCAATTGAGCTAAAAAAAAGGCCTAATATCACCTATAGCCTTATTCTACACCTCATTTAGAGTTTGATAGGTCCAAAAGTCATCCACTAACTATGATTTATCCTAATTAGCTTTTAAATTACCATCTTATTCTTAATCAACTTAATTAATCTCAATTAAAATTTTTGGAATGCTACGTTAGTTGACCAATGACTAAAAATTTGTAGAATAGTTATAGGGTTCTTTTATGTAATTTTTTTATCATTTTCTATTTTTAGGCCATTTTTATAATTTTTGAGTTTTTTTATAACTTTTTATCAATTAATGGTTAAAGTTAACGTTTGTTAATGATAATATTAATAGTACACACCACTTACTCCATGTCTTTGTTGTTTACTTGAGTGTTCTTTACCTGCAAGACACGAGTTCAAACTGGCATCCAAAAATAATAATAATATTACACTATTTTAAAATGTTGGAGATAATATTATACTAAAAATGAGTTTAGATTATTAATGTTTTTGAACATGGTTCAAAACTTTTAGGGTAAATTTGTCATTTAATCATCTTTTTAATTATTTATGAAAAATTTTTAAAACATGGACATGAGAAAATCAGAAAAAAGAATGAGAATGAGTAAAAATAAAAATAAATTTTAAAAATATATTTAATTTTTTTAGGGACAATATACTATTTGTTATGAAAGTCGGAAGTGTAGAGTATCAAAAAACAAATAATTAAAAGATTTTATAAGAACAAATTAATAAAATATTTTTTTTTGATATGCTAATAAAATAAATTTTATTATTTGAGTTATTAATTTTCGACCCATACCAAATTTTTTCTAAAATTAAAATTGTAACCCCGATTAAACACATTCTCGTGAATAGCGGATTCGTTTCTCGTCGTCGACGAACAAGCATTCCACACTCCGTCCGACGCCGTCTGTCAGTCCTGCGTGGTTGTTGTCTGGCAAGCAGTAAAGGATGTTCGAATCCCAGAGCCTTTTCTACTGCCAAAATCGGGTGAGATTGATTTGTTCAATCTGGCTTTGAATTTGTTCCCGGTGTAATCTGTTCCTGCGTCGCTGTTCTTGCTTTGTTTTAAATTTTTCATTTTAATTTGGCTTTGAATCTGGTCGTGTAATCGTTTGAATATTGACGCTTTTGAAATTGGGAATCTTTACATATTGATACTAGTTTTTGCTTGAATAGTGTGTAATTGGCTATTATTCTTCTTCCCTCTTCATTATGATTACTAGCGAGTTGCATGATTTGGATTGTGTTGTTTTGCAATGTTAGATTTATTGTGTATTGGCATTCTGTTTATTATCATCACTTTTGGAAAATTCTCAAGGTATTTGTGATGTATGATCTTGTAAATGACTTGGCTCGAGTAGTGTCAAGTATCTGGAACAAAAATTAAAAGGGTATTGTATCAAGTATGCATATTTCAAATATTTCAGTGGGGGCAGATGCTCCCACTGAGTGTAGTATTGGTCCACATATGGATGAAATTGTCAATGGACAAAATCTTTTGAGATTTTAGTTTGCATCTATCTTCAATCTGCATGTGGACATCTTTGTTAATGTTCAACAATGTCATTAAATTGTTTCATGCTTCCTGTTATGTTAATCATTTTCATGCAATATCCATGGAATTTTAATCTTCAATAATATCTATGGATTTTTCTTTTTGGGGCCAAAAATATCTATGGATGTTTAAACATGACAAGGATTACAACTTAAAAAGCTCAAGATAGGATTGTGTTTATGGCTTTTATAATTTGCTACTCATGACTGTGTCAGCCGAACTTCCATTGCTGATATGCAGAGAGATTGGGTAGAATTATTTCATACCTGAGCTTTTCTGGCTCTGTTTAGTTTTAGTTGTCTTTTCAAAAGAAATAAGATATCTTCCCCTAGTTGTTCTTCTCTGTTATTTTTTTTTTTCAACCTTAAGAAAAGTTGTTCTTTTAATAGAAAATTTTCAAATGCTTATTTTTGTCTCTCGTAATTTATTCCTGATCTTGTTGCAGGTGAAAAAATTTACACTTATTGGTGACATCTGTAAAGTTCAAAAACCTGTCCCAAAACCTAAGTAGAGTTTGTTCTGTAGACTTCTCAACATCTCGTTCGTCCAAAACAGCTCCGACTCACATGGTTTAGCCCCAGAATAGTGAAGAAGGGAGCTTGGTCTGCTGCTGCGTTTTGGGTGAATTTGGAAGCTTTGATGCTTCAACCATCTTGGTAAAGTTCTTATCCTCCTCTTTCATTTTCCCTCTCAATTTTCCAACGTTAGATTCAGCATTGAAGGAAATCTCCCTCTCTATTTGCTATCTTGATAGTGAGGATTTGATGTCGACTTGTCTAATCCTATGCTACGAAGAATAGGTTCCTTTTCTTGGTTACCTGTTCTTCTTCTGCAAGACATTGGTGTCACTGCTCGTTCCAGAACTCCTCTTGTCATCCTATCACGTTCCTTTCCTTGTGTTGTCATCTCCTCTTGTTCTCCAACCTTCTGCACCACAATTGGCACAGCAGAAATCGACCCCCATTTCTTAAATTTTATGAGAAATAAATGCAGGTTTGGAAGATTGAAAAGTGTTGATGATGCCATAAGATTTTTTCATATGATGGTTAAGATGAAGCCTTTGCCATCCGTGTTGGACTTCACATTATTGTTGGGGGTGATTGTGAAGATGAAGCATTATACAACAGTGATTTCATTTATTAAAGAAATGTCTTCCTTAGGTATAAAATCTGATATATATACTCTTAATATTGTGATAAATTGTCTATGCCATTTAAAGCGTGCAGATTATGGGTTCTCAGTTTTGGGTACAATGTTCAAAGTTGGATTGGAGCCTACTGTAGTGACTTTTACCACTCTTATTAATGGATTTTGTATAGAAGGAAACTTGCTTCAAGCAATAAGATTGCTTGAACATACAGAAAAGGTGGGGTATGAATCTGACATTCACACCTTTGGGGTGATAATAAATGGTTTGTGCAATATTGGTGACACATCTGGTGCAATTAAGTGCCTAAGGAAGTTGGAGAAAAGAATTTGGAAACCAAATGTTGTAGTTTATAGCATGATTATGAATAGTTTGTGCAAGGATGGATTGGTATCTGAGGCTTTAAGCTTGTGTTCAGAAATGACTAGCAAAGGTATTCAGCCTAATGTTGTCACTTACACTTGCTTAATTCGAGGTCTATGTAATTCTGGTAGATGGAAGGAAGCTAGTGCCATACTGAATGAGATGAGGCAAAGGGGGATCGTGCCAGATGTTAAAACTTTTAACGTTTTAGCAGATGCCTTTAGCAAGGAGGGAATGATTATGGCTGCTAAAAGCATAATGGGTTTTATGATTCAGATGGGGGAGGAGCCTGATGTTTTCACTTATAACTCATTGATTGATGGATATTGTTTGCAAAATCAAATGATTGAGGCCACAAAAATATTTCATTTAATGGTTAACCAGGGCTGTTTACCAGATATTGTAAGTTATAGTTCATTGATCCATGGATGGTGTAAAGTAAGAAACATTGATAATGCGATGCATCTCTTGGATGAAATGATTAGTAAGGGATTTATTCCTGATGTTGTTACATGGACTACTCTTATAGGTGGGTTATGCCAAGTAGGCCGACCACTTGCTGCCAAAGAACTGTTTTTTAATATGCACAAATATGGCCAAGTTCCCAATCTCCAGACTTGTGCCATAATATTGGATGGACTTTGCAAATGCCAACTTCATTCTGAGGCAATATCATTATTTTCTGTAATGGAAAAGAGTAATATGGATCTTAATATTGTGATCCACTGTATTTTGCTTGATGCAATGTGCAGTTCTCGAAAGCTCAATGCTGCACGGGAACTGTTTTCTAGTATGCCTGCTAAAGGGTTGCAAATGAATGTTTATGCTTATACCATAATGATTAAAGGTTTCTGTAAAGAAGGACTTTTGGATGAGGCTGAAAACTTATTGACAAATATGGAAGAGAATGGTTGCGTGCCTAATAGTTGCACTTACAACGTATTTGTTCAAGGACTGCTTCTAAAAAAGGAGACTTCAATGACAATGAAATACCTTAAAATAATGAAAGAGAAAGGTCTTGTTGCAGATGCTGCCACTGCTGAAATGCTAGTCAATCACATATCCTCTAATCAAGAAGACATAGCATTCTGATATTTTTTTTAATACAAGAAAACTAATGCATTTTCTTGCATGGATTTAAGAAAGCATACACGACTTTCAGAAATCTGAAGGTATTTCTATTTTAATGATATGTCTTCTCCATGTGAAATAGTAGCTTTGTATGTAACTGCTATATGACTTAATAAAAATCCAAGAGAAACTGAATGACTGTCTCTTTAACAAGACATTCTTTTGAAGAATATACATTACCTGCTTTCACTTCCTTTAGATTATCAAGCGTACAGGTAAAGTCTTTTCCAGCAAGTTGTATCAATATTTGTGCACTATATAGAAGTTTATAAATTGCATTTATGATGCCTTTTGAAAAATAAAAACATAGTTTTTTTTTTTTTAATAATTTCATTGACATGTGGTGAATTCCGTTTGGACAATTTCTGTGGTATTTCGCCTTAAAGAGCACCAGTCCAAGGAGGATTGAGGACCCTTCTGTTCGATATTCTTCTTAAAGGGTACTAGTTGGTCCACATGCAGAGTAGAAGACCCTGCTTTTCTTCCTATTATGCAAGTTTCTAATTTCCTTTTACCAAATGTCAAGGATCTACTATTCTTCATGATCAACTTATTATGAATTTTGTGCTTTGACTGTTTCATGTTTTTACAACTTGAACATGTTTTGCTGATGTCATTTAGCTTCATGTGCACCAATGATGGTTTTCATTGTGGCTTCAAACTAAGTAAAAACCATGTATGGGATTTTAAATTGATTTTGCACTTAATTCACTGAACTTCATGCCACTTTGGAAGTTTTTGTTCTTCCAAATGACTTGATAAGTTTTTGGTGAATATCTTTTTGAAGGTCAGTCTAATTTACTACAAGCTGCATTTTAACATGTACTCAATGTGATTGTATTTGAAAATGTTTCTCATTTATTTTTATAGAAAATTACAGTTACAATGATTTCATTCTTTTATTCATGCTGACCCTTTTTTTAATAGTAATATTTTCTCCTGCAAAGAAGTGGCTCTTATATCTGAAATGCTAGAATGCTAAATATTGAAGGTTATTGGATCATTCAACATCTAGAGTTCAAAATTATTTAATCTGGAGCTTATGAATTTTGATACAACCCTCCCCAAAATGTTAATGAAACTACAGAGAAATGAATCCAAAGTAGGCACTAAATGGCAAAATACTGAGTTTTTGCTATTAATGCTTGGATATCCGAATCAGTATTACAAAAGGACAGACTGATTTTGGCCAAAACCCTATTCCCATACACAAGTACAATGAAAAATAAAAGACAGAACAGAACAAAGTAAGGTCCCTCACTGTATTTGAGAGACCAACAATCTCCTCACAACTTTCGAACCTCACAAAACAATGACTGAGAGCACCCAAAACCAGATACAATGTACTAGTAGCAGCCAAAAAGTGAACCACGTGTTTAGCCTGAGATTAAAGCCACTCTACAGTATCATTGCCAATCCCTGATAGCCTGGACCCTTAGGATAATGACCTGAACCTGTCACTTCTTTCTGCTCTAACCCTTGTTTCTCTTTTACTTTCCTTTTATATGTTTGAGTAAAACCAGCAGCTAAATCAAATTTCTTCCACCTGGTTCAAAGGGCATAATGAAAGTCAGGGGCACACAACTGATGAAAGGATACTACAAGGTAAATTATTGTCTAAATTTTAATGATTTTGGTCTATATTTGTGTTTTTTTTTTCATCTGCCTCTTTGTTTTGTTTTTGTTATGATTTTATAAAAACTTTGGTTTCATTTACAGAAGCTGTTGGTGTCCTTGGTCCGCATTGAGTGTGCCATTTGACAATGAAGTAGCTCTCCTTTGCAAAGTACTCTGGGTTTGTTAGAAACAAGAGGCCTTTGATGAGGATGGCTGGCTGAATACAAGATAAATTTTTTATTAATGATTTTTTTTTTTTAAAGTTGGGAGGATCTCCTCATGTGGACTCTGTTGCTTGCTGGCCTCAGCAGATGAGGCAATAATAGGATGAGGGAGTGCCAAGTTTGTGGAAGTCGCTCTAGCAATCTGCATGATGTTTGAGACTGCATATCTCGCATCTATAGATTGACTGTGAATCCACTTACTTGAAGGGAGATGTGCATTGCATGGAACATTCTTTTCGACTGTCGAGATCTTATTTGAATAGCCTAGATTTTGGATTTTGTGCTTTTCAAATTGTCTTTTTTTTTTTTTTTAAGGTCAGATGGAAATCTGTGTTTATTTTTAATTCTATTCCCTTCAAAAAAATAAAAATAAAAGATCATGACCATCCAAATCAGATCTGACTGGTTTATGCTAAAGATGTACAGAGGATCTAAATTATCTTTAGGTCGCTGCCATGAGATAGATTGGTCATCCTGTCTGAATCATCCTTTGCTGAAAATTATGTTTTTATTATATCTATAATAGGCTTTTTCAAATGCAAATTTCCTTCTGTTATGACTTACAGACACTGTTGATTGAGACCTCTTAATTAATAATATTTTTAAAAACTTGATAAATGATAGAGCGCAATGACATTATATAATCCATGTAGCTGATCCCACCTAGTGGTATAAAGTTTTTTGTTGTTGTTGTTGTTGTATGACTGACAGAGGGGTTTAGGTTTGGCCTTTGAAACATTTCAGATGCAAACTGTTACAAGTTTGGCACCATTTATTGAGGATTTCTTATTGCATCAGTGCATCGCCATCGTCAATATGAGCGTATTTTGTATGTACTCTTTTCAGGCACGGATTTGTCCACTTTCCAACCATACCTACTTTTTCCAGCCTTGCACCCTTTTCTTCATCTGGTATAAAAATTTAGTCTTTATGCCACCCCTTTCCTGACTTGTTGTATAAAGTTTATCATCTTTAGATTTTTTAAAGAACAAGAAAGCCTTAATCTATTATAAATTTATAACGCAAAAAGTTCTCTCATCTAAATATAACTGAAAAGCTTTGTTCTCTTCTCATATATATGTTTATAATGTTTTATGTTTTTTTGAGCACATGAGCATAACCTTAACTAGTTGCTAATCTAATGATAAATAGGAGTTATATCCTTAAAATTCCAAGCTCTTATTATTCATCAGCAAAATAGCTAAAAATTTCTATATTCTAAACAAAGCATGTTCAAAATGAACCCTGAAGAAAAGGATCACTTTAGAAGGCATGAAACTTGAGGAATGTTGGAGGCAGAACTTTTGCCATGAGCATTTGTGCAGGTGGCCCTGGTCTTCATTTTAGGATTAGATGATGTAATTTTGATGTCGTCCAACACAAGGTTGGTGCATCCTACAACATTGTCACACTCCAATTTGACTGCTTCCTCAAAAGCTGAAGTTCCCCTGAAATTCCTGTATGTAATGTCACTGATTTTTATAGCCTTTTTGTTGTCAGTTAGAGAAATATTGTAGTGTTGGGTAATGAGCACTGGGTGCTGAACATCTTCCAGTATTATGTCCTCATATGTGACCTTTCTAACATATCCAAATCCACCCTGGTTTTGAACAGCGTAACATAATTGTAGTTAGTCAAAACATGATTGAATGAGAATGTTAATAATTTAATTGTGACGTAAAAATGGATAAGACTAATTAGACTAAATAACAAAATCATAGAGAAAAAGAGAGAAACCAGATTGCAAATGGAATATAAATGATTGTTGGGTCTTTCTTCCTAGTACATGTGTTATCAACTCTCTTGTAAAGCTTTTTCGAAACTTAATGTGCTTGTAGTTGGTTTTGAACATGATTAAGTTGAATTTTTCTGGAAGTTATTTTCTTCAGTTTCTCACTGAAAGTATATTTTTTAATTTAGAACTTCCAATTTAAAAACAACAGTTGATTCACATACACGGGATCATCTTAAAGTGTTTGGGGATTATTTTTGAAAGTTCTAGTTGAAACCTTGATCTTAATTGCTAACCGGTATAAAGACACTCTAATATTAATCTAAATATGACTTGTGATTATCTTTTTATTACTAAATCATCATTTGTTTTGGATTTTGCAGTTCAAAATCATTTTATTTTACTCTTTTGTGTGTTACCTCCCAAGTCTTGATTCTGGCTCCACTTGAAGATCTGGTGAAGGTGCAGTTTCTGACGTGGATCTCTTCCACTGCACCATAAGTTCCACCTGATCCCAGGCTTCCAATGCTAAACATGTATATATTCACCAGCACACAGGCCACAGAGACTTTTATAGATTAGTTATTGAACACATGTAAATTTCTTGTATGGTGTATGTATAAATATGTATGTATGTATGTATGTATGGATGGATGGATGTATATATGATTGAAAAAGTAGGATTTTGATGTGAGATCACCTTATGCCATGACCAGGTCCGCAGAAGACACCACTAATGTTCATGTGGGAACCTCCATTAATGACCACACAGTCATCACCTTCAGCAAAAGGGGAATAAGCCATGATTAGGGTAAGTTTTCGAATATAGATTAGTTCGTTGGACTGGAATATCCAATAATTTTTAGGAGATGAAGAAGACGCCTCAAATGGGAAGAGTTATAATGATTTTGTGAATGAGAAATGAACTGATATAGTTTTCTTACGCAAGAAAAGTAGCTAATTATTTACCAACTTCCATGGTAGAATCTCGGATTGTGACATGGGATGAGCCAGAGATTCCAAGGCCGTCAGTGTTAGGGCTGTCATTAGGAGCAAGGAGGTGGATATTGGAGATAACGGAGCCATTGCAGCCGTTTATGTTTATGTGACTTGATGGGGTGTTAATTACTTTCACTTTATTGATTCTAAGCTCCGGACATGCATGAAATGAGATGGCCTGCACCAATAACTAACATTCTCAATCAATAAAAAAAAAATGGAGGGAATACGGTATAATTTTTTTATTTTAATTTGAAATATTGAAATAGTGAAATTTTGATCTTACACGTGGCCTTTGACATCTAGATTTTCTGAAACATTCCCACCAAGGTGTACCTTGGCCATCAAAAACTCCTCCACCATTGACAACAAGTCTATTTATGTATATAAATTGAAGCCAGCTGCCTTTATCATTGCTTGACCATTTCCAATCATTGACACCTTTTGGAGCACTTATAGTTCCTTGAATCTGCCAATCCATATATAATCATGCTCTCTTCTTAGAAATTATATATATATATATATATATATAGCAATCTTACATATTTGGTACATGGGAAAGTGTTATCTAAAAAGAAAAATAAAATAAAATTATAACTAGAAAAAATGAGATACGTGTATTTTTCTCATTTTTCTTTCTAGAAAATATTTGTCTAACTACTAAATATTGCATAAATTTTCTACACATTCCATAAAGTGTGTAGAGCTTGCATGTTTTGTGAATCATATAGTCATCCAAGACAAAAATTTAATTACTGAATCAACGTACCTTAAAATTAATGGATGGAGACTTGCAAGGACCTTGGAAAACAGTAGGTTGCAATACAAAGGTTCTTCTCTTAGGTACCAGAAGGGTTGGATTTCCCTTTGTTGAATCGCAAACATCTTCCCATGCTTTCACAAAAGCCTTTCCACAAATTTCCAGATCGACCAAAATTAATTACCAAAAGGAATACAATTAATTAATTAATATAATGATTGGTAGGATAAATTAACATAAGGACTAGAAAGTTTTACTAATATTTATGAGAGAGAGAGAGAGAGAGAGAGAGTCTATGCATTGTATGTGCGCAGTTTGAGAAATGAGATATAATTGAGTCTTGAAATAGTGATAAGCAATTTTAGAACAATCGAGTTTATAAATTCGAACTCCGTCCAAAAGTAGTTAGATGAAAAATGACTATAGTAATGATATTTTGCAAACTTACTTTTGAATCATCGGTGTGGCCATCTCCTAAAGCACCATACTTGAGGACATCAAAAATTGGTTCAGCTTGTGAAGCAACAAAACACAAGGAGAGGATGGCAAATATGCCTTGCATATTCATTTATAACTGAACACACAAGACTTTTTTTTTTTTTTTAACTGAGAAAAGAAAGAAGAAAAATCTTTTAAGTGTAGAAAAGAAGCTAGATTTTTACTTGTATCTACGCGACGATAGTTTGTGAGGTCAAGTAAGAGAAACCACCTAGGTTTATATAGACATAGTCTGGTGGAAGACACATATAATTAATTTTTGGGATATTTTGGGATTTTTGTTGATTTCTCCTATGATTATTCCCCATATATTTAATTTTTGCTTTAATCTTTCAATCCATATTACAAAATTTCCATGTTTGAATTCATTAAAGATAGATGTTTCGCATTCTGATTCAAAATTCAAAGGTCAACTATATATATATTAGATGAACGCATTCATGAATCATAAATATTTTACCCTCCATGATGAATAGAGTAAATAAATAAGTAATGAATAATTTAATGAATATTGTATATTATTTTGTTTATTATATATAACTAGAAAAAAGGCACCTGCATTACACGATTATAAGAAATTTATGCGCATAATAAAAATTTAAATAAAATAAACAGTATTTCTATCAAAAATCCACAGTATAAAATATATTGATGGTCACCTGACAAATAAATAAATAATTCATAAATATTGTAGTAGAATGGAAATATTTATTTAGTTCAATATATTCGCAGATAAATATTTACACATTCAAATACAAAGTTTAGATTACCGTACAGTAAATAGATGTTGCAATCCAATAGAAGCATGTATTTATTTTTGTTCGTGCAAGGATAAATATTTTCCCATTCAACGGCCAAACAATATTTACACTCTCATTTATAGCATTTAAGGGTTTACCATATTAGCTTCTGGTTTAAATGTATTTACAAGTCAAACTTTTTTTCCTTTAATTCATGAAAAAAAAAACAACTAATATTATTGATAATGATTTTTTTGGTCTGAGTTATTGATAATGATTGTGCGCATTTGGCCGGAAAAAAAAAAAAAAGGATAATGATTGTGTGCATGAATTTAGTCCCATTTGTCTATTTCCATGTACTTTAGGAATTTGAATTTAGTAAGTGACATAAATTCATTTATTCAATAAGTGTCTCACGGATGATAATAATTATTTAATTTAACCGAACGAGTGTCAAAGATTTTATTATATAATATTTAAAAAATTCTTAATCTCAAATTTTTTTGAATGGGCAGCGTACATGACAAGTATTTTGATGGTGATGTTATTTTTAATTTTTGGAGAGATTTGTATCTCAATAATTTTTAAGTGTTAATGAAATCTGATAAATGTCTTAGAACACTCATTAAGTAAATAGATTTAAGCCACTCATTCGATCTAAATCCTTTATTTTGTCTTTCTTCCTTGCATGTGTATTAGCATATGCATCACATGTATATGTATATGAAAATACTAGTGCCACTAAATCAATGTATACTTTTTTCAGGTAAAAAAAAAAATCAAGGCATTCTTTTTTGTTAAAAAATATGTTTTTTTTATAATTTTACCCATCTTTATGATTAATAATTATAATAAATTTTTGTTTTGGAGTTAAATGATAATAAATAAGGGATAAAATTGAAAAAAATATTAATTACTCTAATTTTTCCTTATATTGAGGAATTGAAAAAGCTTCCAAAATTTGGCTTGCATTAAGAACCAAAAAAAATATATTTTACCCTTCAAACTATAATGTTGGTGGAAGTCGGAAATTAACTACATTATTAATATAATTGAAATAAATTTAAATAAAGAAAAAAAGATTTAGAAGTCAGAAATAAGGATCAAGGTCCTTATGGTCTAAGTACTTAATAGAGAAAATGACAATTAGATTTTAAAGGAATGAATTAATGATAGTTAAATTTTAAGACCTAATTGACATTTTTCCTATTCATTATGTTGGAATATTTTTAAAATAAAGAGATCTATTTTTTAAAAATTCATATCCTTATAAATTAAGGAATTTTTGTAAAGAGATATATAAGAAGCTATAATATTAACAATCACAAAGATCATATCTCTCTAATTCCTAAAAGCACCTTAGAAGGTTATATGAAAGGAAGTATTATTTCAAAAAAAAAATTACATATTAAAAAGACTACTCTTTATAGTAAAATTATTTTAAATAACCATTAGCTATTAAAGCTATTTTAAAAAAATTTCTAATCATATGAATAGTATCTTAAAACCTCAAAAGATACTAATATTTTGACTTTTAAAGGAGATAACATGCCCAACAAAGACCTTCTACTACATCAGTGGTGCTAGAAAGCAATAATATACATGATTTTGAAATTGAGGCATGTGACAATACATACATTAAAGATGCCAAATCAAACCATGTTAAAATTTGTGCTCCTGCTCTAGATATATAAGAGTTATATATATATATATATACACCTTAAGATTCCATCCTCTATTATCCATCAGCAAAATAGCTAAAAATGTCTGTATTCTAAACAAACTTTGCTCATAATGAACCCTGAAGAAAAGGATCACTTTAGAAGGCATGAAACTTGAGGAATGTTGGTGGCAGAACTTTTGCCATGAGCGTTTGTGCAGGTGGCCCTGGTCTTCATTTTAGGGTTAGACGATGTAATTTTGATGTCGTCCAACACAAGGTTGGTGCATCCTACAACATTGTCACATTCCAATTTGACTTCTTCCTCGAAAGCTGAAGTTCCCTTGAAATTCCTATATGTGATGTCACTGATTTTTATAGCCTTTTTGTTGCCATTTGTTTGAGAAATATTGTAGTGTTGGGTAATGAGCACTGGCTGTTGAACATCTTCCGGTATTATGTCCTCATAAATGACCTTTCTAACATATCCAAATCCACCCTGGTCAAAACATGATAGAATGAGAATGTTAATAATTAATAGTAATAAGATTGGTGGGTGTTTAACTAAATGATTGATGGAGAAAGAGAGAAACCAGATATCATAACTAGAATCTATGGGCTTGTTTGGTTTCTGTTCCGATTTTTTATTTTTAAAACCTGTTTTGTAATATAATTTTTAGATTTGAATTTAAAAAAAACAAAAAGAAGAGAAAATTATTTGGTTATATTACTTTAAAATAAATTTTAATATTAAAAATACATTAATGGTGATGGTTGTAGGTAATTAATGATGGTGATTTATGATAATAATTGATCAAGCTTATTATATTTTTCAATAATAAAATGTAATGTGTTTTTGGAAATAAGAATAATAAAATAAAACAACTTTAAGATATTTCCATTTTTAGTTTTTAAAAATAAAAAGTGAGAACAATTTTAAAAACAATTAAATCAAAAACACTTATCCAAATGATTTTTTTAATTTTTAATTTTTTTAAAAAAAGAAAACATTTTTAAAAAAACAGAAATCAAACAAGCCATAGATGATTGATGGATGTTCCTTTCTAGTATATGTGTGTGTATATTATCAACTATCTCGTAAAGTTCTTTCTAATTAAACTTCATGTGCCTATAGTTAGTTTTGAGCAAGATTAAGTGAACTTTTCTGTAAGTTCTTTTCTGGAGCTTCTCTCTGAAAGCATCATTTCAGTTTAGAACTTCCAATTTAAAAACAATATTTGATTCACATACATGGGGCTCATCTTGAAGTTTGGGGATTATTTTTTGCAAGTTCAAGCTTGAAAACCTTGATCTTAATTGCTTATCAACACAGAGACAGCCTAATATAATCTAAATATAACTTGTTATTATCTTTTTAATACTAAATCATCATTTGTATTGGATTTTTCAGTTAAAAAAATTAGGAAAACATAAGTTTAAGTCCTTGCACTTTGCTTGTGTTTTGCTATTAGTCATTGTACTTTTTTTCAGTATTTTAGGTCCCTAAATTTTTATTTCTTAGTGTTTTAGGTCCCTCCATAAACAAAGTGCAAAAACTTTGGAGGTAGAGCTGATAAGCTTGGCTCGTTTAAGCTTATATAACAGTAGGGCTGGACTCACAAATGTAATCCTAAAATGGTAAATCGAGCTTAAACGGACTAGTCCTAAAAGGCTGAGGACTAACTTGTTTAAGCTTATATTACATATATGTTTTTATTAATTTTCATGACTTTGACTTTTTTTGGACTTGAAAAAAAAATTAAACTATATCTTTTTCCACATCATATATGAGCCTATATTTGTTGTGAGGGAATGTCCAAAAAAAAAAATACAATCCTAAATCTCCCGTTTCATCTAAAGTTATGAAAATGATTCATTCAATTTAGCCTTCACTCTTTGTTCTTCAATATGCTTCTCTTCTTCTTGTTGCTACAAATTGTCTTCGCTCTTCAGTAAGTCATCGCATTGCCATCCTCGTCCCTATGATTGCAACTCGCAAGTCATCCTCGCTTTTGGTTTTTCTCACTCTTCTATCACCCTTGTTGCTAACTTCAATAGTGCTCTCTCCCAAGAACCAAGGCTCAACAATGGTCGACTAGTTGAAGCTCATTGTGATCGATCTCCGATCCCAAGTCCTCTCATCACTCATCATGTTTGTGCATTTATGACTCGTGAGTTGTGCTCTATTTGATGCACACATCGTGCTTGTGCTCTTTGATTTCCTTGATCTCCCAGTCCTATATTTCAAACCCTTAATCTCATATGATCTCGATTGAGTATTTGTTGGCTTAACCAATCCATTGTTTGTTGCCTTGTTGTCATTTCATTTGTGTTTTTAATTCATTTAGTTGTTATTTAATTAGTTTTCTTATTACTTTCTTGATTAGGTATTATATTGGAATGAAGTAATTTTTGTTTGATAAAAAATTTGGAAAAAATAAAAATAGTTAAAAGGGCTTGAAACCTATAGGGTCGGCCTGAGCCTACTATATCAAGGGTCAAGCTTCACATATCATGATCTTAAAGAGTACTCAAACTTAAACGGGGTTGACCCTTTTAGGTTTAAGCCCATCAAAGATTGCCCCTATAGAGTCAGGCTAACCCGTTTTCCTAGCTCTACTTGAAAGGACATAAAACAATAAAAAATAAAAGTGTAGGAATCTAAAACATTAAAAAAAGTATAGAAATTAATAGTAAAATGTGAATAAAATAGATCTAAAATTATATTTTTTTCAAAATTATTTTATTGTACTCTTTTGTGTGTGTTACCTCCCAAGTCTTGATTCTGGCTCCACTTGAAGATCTGGTGAAGGTGCAGTTTCTGACATGGATCTCTTCCACTGCGCCATAAGATCCACCTATTCCCAGGCTCCCAATGCTAAACATGTATGTATTCACCAGTCACACACACCACAAAGTCTTATATAAATTATTTATTCAACACATGTAAATTTATTTATTTTTAATAAACAACAGATTCATTAATCAAAAAATGATTACAACCTAGTCAACAGGAACAAATTACAAGCTCCTTTCCTTTCATCATTCACTACCTTAGTGCAGGATGGTGGTAATAGATCAAAGATATTAATGGTTTGTTTAATTTATTTTTAAAAATTATTTTCTATAATGGTTTGTTTAATTTCTATTTTTAAAAATTATTTTCTATTTTAGAAAACAAAAAAATCGTGGAGTAGGTGTTTTGGATTTAAATATTTTTAAAAATGTTATGCTCATTTTTTACTTTTAAAAGCAAAAATGGAAATATCTTAGAGCTTTTTTTTGTTTTCTTTATTTTTAGTTTTTAAAATGTATTATATTTGATTATTATAAATTAACTTAAACTATTAATCAATCATTATCATATACCATCATTATCAACGACACTAGTAACCATCACTATCAGTAATTTTTTAACTTAAATTATTTTTATATTAATATAATCAAATAAATTTTTCCATTTTTTTGTTTTGAGAAACAACTTTTTTAAAATTAATTTACAAAATAGTCATTAAAAATTAAAAATTAAAACAAAACCAAACACGTGCTGAAACTCCCAACCCCATCATGTGTATTTGTAGCCAAAAGATGAACATAATAAGTAGGATTTTGTTGTGAGATCATATCACCTTATGCCATGACCAGGTCCGCAGAAGATGCCACTAATGTTCATGTAGGAACCTCCATTAATGACCACACAGTCATCACCTTCCACAAAAGGGAAATCAACCATAATTAGAGTAAGTGGAAGGCGCTATTTCTTCCAAGGTGGAAACTTTCTATCATCAGGGTACAACCCAATGTGTTTGGATCTAGAATACTTGATAGGAATAGAATAATTGAGTAATTTTCAAAAAAATTAAAAAGATGACTCAAATGGAATAGGGGTGCACAATGCCAGCCATTACTCTTGCCTCGTGCCCAGCTCAAGTGCTAAGGTTAGGTTTGGCCTAAACTAAAAAATATTTTTAAAAATATTTTTTTGAAGAAAAAAAATATTTATCTTTGAACAAAAGATATAATTATTATCTTTTAAAATATATTCTTATAAAACTAATATTAGATCAAAATTAATTATTTTTAAAATTACCTATGATCAATAACTATCAATTATTTTTACATAACATTGAGTTACAAATCTATTTTAAATTTTGAAAGTGATTAGAAAAATTGAAATAGTTACAAAAATCTATTTTAAATTTTGAAAGTGATTAGAAAAATTGAAATGGAAAAAAATTTAAAAATTTTATAAAAATAATATAGTGTATGATAACTCTCAACGAAAATAATAGCATAAAATAAATATTTTTCATTAAACTTTCTTTTTTAAAAAGAAAAAGGCCATATTTGTGGACCAAGTTGGGCAAGACAGGGGAATCTCAAAGCTTGGCCCAAACCACTCAGGTGGGGCCAAGCTTGCCGGGCTTTTATGCTACATGCAAAGCCTAGATGGAAAGAGTTATAATAAGTTTTTTTAATATATGACTACAGAAAAGTAGTGTAACAAGATAAAAATAAATCAAGTCATATAAAAAATAATAAAGTTTCTACAGCTCGGTGGGAAATGATTAAAGATAATAATATTTAAATTGTCTTGAAATACGTATTGACAAACAAACTAGTATTTTTATTTGCTTCTTTGAACATACGTTAGTATTTTTATTTTCAACTAGCATTTTTATTTGCTTCTTTGAACATATTTAAGTTGTCTTGAAATACCCAGTGGCGAACAAACTAGCATTTAAGTTGTCTTATTGAAATACCTAGTGACAAACAAACGTACGTTAGTTAATTGTCATGAGTTATAACCATTTTTTGAATGAGAAATGAACCGAAAAGGTATTCTAACTCGTGAAAAGTAACTTGACTAACTAACTAACCAATTACCAACTTACATGGTAGAATCTCGTACTGTGACGTTGAATGAGACAGAGATTCCAAGGCCGTCAGTGTTAGGGCTATCCTTAGGAGCAAGGAGATAGATATGGGAGAAAACAGTACTATTGCAACCGTCTATGGTTAAGTGACTTGCTGGGGTGTTAATCACATTCACCTTACTAACTTTAAGCCCTTCACATGCATGGAATGATATGGCCTGCACCAATTGCTCACATTCATAATCAATATGAAATATGGGTTAAATGCCATTTTTTCTCTTAAGATTTTTTCAATGAACACTAGACATCTTATACTGATAAGTGGGATAATATTTCACCTACACCATCTTTTCTAAGAGCAATTTATGCTTCCGTTAAAGAATAGTCAATTTTACAATGATCTATGTATATGAACTACATGTGAACTCCATTGACTTATTATTATAGAGTTAAAATACTAATTTGACCCAAGAGTTTATTTCTAAAGGTGTTGGACACCTTAAGGTCTTATTAAAATAAAGGGTTAAGGGTCTAAAATGCCCCTCAACTAAATGAAAAGGGTCAGTATTGCCCTCAAAGTCAAGAAAGGGTCATTTATATTCCTCAACCACTAAGATTTTTGATTCCATCACCCTATCGTCCATTCTGACAAATTTCATTGTTAGTGGGACCCATTTTTGAATTTTTCAATATTTTTTGTAGGTCCCACCATTTTTTTTATAAGATTAAGGGTCTAAAATGCCCTTGAATTAAATAGAAAAGGCCAAAATCACCCCTAAAGTCAAGAAAGGGTCATTTATATCCTTCAACTGTTAAAATTTTTGACTCCATCACCATGCCATCTATTCTATCAAATTTCACCTTTAGTAGGGCTCACATTTAATTTTTTAATATTTTTAATGGGCACTACCATTTTTTATATTTTTAGTAGGTCTCCTTAGGGATCAAGCCACACCTTCAAGCAAGTCTTTGTTCAATCTTGTAAAAGTTTAAACTTCACACCATGGCTCTCCAATGGCTTCAAGCCTAATTTTTCTACTGTAAATTTTAACCTTGCCCTCAAGCCTCTCATTGCCAAATGGTGCTAGAAATTTGCCAACCATTGCAGGAACATACTTCCAGTATACTCTTCAGCCTGGCTATTCATGATGATAACATGACTACAATTGGCTTGCTGGGTGCTCTGCCACTGCTACCCTACTTGCTTCAATATAAGAACGAGCAACCAAGAGGGAATAAAGGGGGGAGAGAGGGAGAAGAAAGAGGGTTTTTTTTTTATTATGAAAGTATTAAAAAATTCAAAATGTGCACCCCACTAATGGTAAAAATTGACACAAAAGATAGTACTAATGGAATCAAAAATCTTAACAGTTAAACGATATAAATGACTTTTTCTTGACTTTAAGGGTGATTGTGACCTTTTTCGCTTAGTTGAGAGGCATTTTAGACCCTTAACTTAAAAAAAATAAAGTAGGTCCCACTATTATATTTTATTAAAAATATTTAAAAAATTTATGTCGGCCCTACTAATAAATAATTAACGTCAAAGGCATGGAGGAAGTAAAATTCTAAAGTTAAGAGATAAAATTGACCTCAAGTAGAGTTTAGGATTATTTGTGAGCTTTTATGTACAGTTTAGGAACAAAAATAACCTTTAACCCTAAAATAAAATTTAAAAAATATTTATTTTAATAAAATATTTAATAATTTTAATATTATTATTTATGAATTTTAATCCAAAATTTATAAATTATTTTTTAAATATTAACCATTCAAACTAGTTTTTTAAAAAATTTTAGATGACTTATAAATTGTGTATGGAGATTTGTAAATAATAATAATAATAATAATAATAATAATAATAATATTTACAGTAAATTACAAAAAAAAGACCTTATAATTAAATCCCTTAAATTTTTTAGGTCATTCTTTATTTTTTTTGTCAAAAAATGGTCAAATTAACATATATTGCTTTGTTTTTTTAAATATATGAAGGTATCTTTGTTTTTTTAAATATATGAAGGAAGAGAATATTAGAACCGACTTTCTAACTAGGCTAAAAATATATTAATTATAATATATCTAGACTAATTCATGCTTGTAAAGAGGAATGACACTTAAAAAATTATTTTATTCAAGTGAAGTCACAACAAATTTTAGAATACAAAGTAAGTCTAACTCTTAATTGGTAGTTTCATATAATGCAATATTTTCCTAATTTTTTACATTAAAAAATGAGTCGCAAATTCAACAAGATAAAATTAATTTTATCTAGTTTGAAGGTTCATTCCCTTTCTTTTTAATAAAAAGTTACATCACAATATTAAATTTTGGATGGTGTATATCTTATAGGAAGACTTATAATTTAGCAGATTATTTAATTTACAAGTTATCTATAAATTTATAAAAAACTAATTGAGATGTTAATATTTAAAATATATTTATAAATTTTTTATGAATATTTATAAGTAATTTAAATTATTTTAACTAACTAAAATATTTAATATCTTAACAATATTTTACTAAAATAAATATTTACTAAATTTTATTTTAATAAGACTTCAGGGTGCTTAACTTTTTTAAAAAAGTTCATGGATAAATTAACATGTTAACCCTACAATAGTAAGCCAGTCAAATGGTCAAAAGGGCCTACACATAATCTAGGCAAATCATGATGAAATTGAAAAATTCTTTAATGGAAGGATAAAATTACTTTTGGAAAAATGATTTAAAAAAAAACATAGTCTCACTTATCAATACAAGATATCATGTGCTCCTTAAGAAAAATTAAGGAAAAAAATAATCTTTAACCCTATAAAATATTGATGAAATACTATTAAATTCTTTAATTTAATTCGAAATATTCAAAGGGTGAGTTTTCAAACTTACACTTGGCCTGTGACATCTGGATTTTTTGAAACAGTCCCACCATGGTGCACCTTGGCCATCAAAAACTCCTCTACCAGGGACAACAAGTCTATTTATGTATGGAAATTGAGTCCAATTGTCTTCATCACTTCTTGGCCATTTCCAAGCATTGACGTCTTTTGGAGCACTTATATTTCCTTTAATCTGCCAATCCATATATATATATATATATATATATAATTGTCTTCTCTACTAAAAAAATGATACATACATACATACATATATACATACATACACTCCTTCTTCCCCCTCTCCATACTATTTATAAGATATTCTCAACATGTTTCATTAAAACTAAGAAAAAACTTAAAATTTATTAAATTTTTAATAGCTTTTAACCTTGACCATATTAAACGTAACATACATATTTTTGCTGAAAAAAATATATTTTAATAATATATTCCTCTGTCCCAGTTTAAAAGATATTTTTTTTGACAATAAACACACTTTACAATCTTATTTTTACAAAAAATATATATATAATCTTCAAAAATATCCTTTATTTAATATAACCTTATTTATGAAATATTAAATAAAGAGAGAAAAATATAATAAGGAGGAAATGGTAATATTGGACAAGCATAATAAATAACCTTATTTTTGTCAAAATACTTTATATTTTGAGATACTAGATTACAACAAAAAATGTTTTATAAATTGGAATGGAAGAAGTACTACTTTCTTTCACTAACATTTAATGGCCAAAAGAAAAAATTGTGATAAAAATTTAATGACATGACTTACAAATAGGATAAAAAAATTGTTCTCTCTTTGCCTTATATATATTGCACCTCTTATGGGTTATGAGTACAAATATCATTTACATTCTTAAATATAAATATAATTTTATTTTTGTTTTCTTTGGTGATATCTCTAAATTTTCTACACATTTAAAAAATTTTATAGAGTTTGCCGTTTCTGAATCATC